CTGGAGGAGGGTGAGGATGTGTCCCCTGGGTGTCCCCTGACTGTCCCATGTCTCCAGGGGTGCTGGATGAGGGTGAGGACGTCCTGGAGCAGCCCACCCTGGCAGCCCAGGAGCGGGCGCGGGAGGAGCTGGAGCTGCGGCGCAAGAAGCCGCCCTACGTCCCCTACGAGGAGGAGGAGCCCGGCCCCGCCCCGCAGGTCTGGCCCCGCCCCCTGTCGCGACATAGCCCCGCCCTTTATCGCGTTATATCGTGGCTCTTCACGCTGTATCCCGAGATATATCGCGATAGGGGCAAACATCAGGACGTTTTGCTCCGGGCCATCGATATGACACGATATCACGTAATGTATGTCGCGACACGCTACGATATATCGTATGTCGTGTGCTATCCTACAGCGTAGTATCGCATTGGATCTCATGTTATATCGTGATATTTAATGATGATCCTTAATTTATTGCATCACGGGCTGCGATATCGCGATATATCATATTGTGTATGTGATATCGCAATGTAGTTCATTATATGCTACGATATCGTGATGATATCGCACCGTGTGCTGCGATATCGCGATATGTCGCGTCGTGTTGTGTTGTGTGGTGCCCTGTGGTATCCCGGGATATATCGTGAGATATCACGCGGTGTCTTGTGATGTCATATCGTGTGATATCGCACGCTATAGCACGTGTATGTCACGATATATCGTGTCATACTACGTGATTTTGCCTATTCCAGCAGATATATGTCGCGATATGCCGTGTTGTACCACACAATATTGTTGATATGTCTCTTGCGTTCTATGTTTTATTGGGTGACATCCCATGATGCGCCACGTATCAGGTGATATATCACGATATATCCTCTTATATCGTGATGTATTGTTTGATATGGTGTTATATCGCCTCTTATCTCATGATATATCGTAACATATTTCCTTGTATTGTGATATATTGCTTGACATCACACTATATCGCCGCCTACCATGGGATAGATCATGTTATGTTCTCTTATATCGCGATGTATTGTTTGATATCGTGCTATGTCTCTGCTTATTTTGTGATATATCACGATATATCTCCTTGTATTGTGATATATTGCTTGATATCGTGTTATATCGCCGCTTATTTCGTGATATATCACGATATATCTCCTTGTATCGTGATATATTGCTTGATATCACGCTATATCGCCGCCTATCATGTGGTATATCACAATATATCGCCTCGTGTCATGATGTATTGTTTCATATTGTGCTATATCGCTGCCTATCATGCGATATATCACGATATATCCTCTTATATCACAATGTATTGTTTGATATCACATTGTATCACCGCCTATCGCGATAGGTCATCTGATATCGCGATATTTCCCCCCCCCCCAGGGCCCGAAGGCGCCGGCGCTGTTGGCCAAGTACGACGAGCCAGCGCCGCGTCCGTCCTTCCGCCTCGGCCCGGGGGGGACCCAGGACGGGGGAGACCCCCCGAAACTGCCCCCCCCCGGCCCCGCCCCCCAGAGCCTGGAGCTGCCCCTCCCCCACCTGGCGCCAGAGTACCTCACCCAACAGGAGATGGTGGGAAACGGGGGGGATTTGGGGGGGTTGGGGCGTTTTGGGGGGATTTGGGGTATTTGGGGGGGATTTGGGTGGGGTCTGGGGGGGGTTGGGAGATTTTGGGGGGATTTTAGGGGGCATTTGGGGCACTTTGGGGGGATTTTAGGGGGGAATTTGGGGGGCTCTGGAGTGTTTTGGGGGAGGAATTGGGGGTGTTTGGGTTGATTTTGGGGGATATTTGGGAGCGTTTTGGGAGGGGTCTGGGGGGATTTGGGGCATTTTGGGGGGATTTTTGAGGGGATTTGGGACATTTTGGGGGGATTTTAGAAGGGATTTGGGATGTTTTGGGAGGATTTTAGGGAGGATTTGGGGCATTTTAGGGGGATTTTAGGGGGAATTTGGGGGGTTCTGGGGTGTTTTGGGGGAGGAGTTGGGGGATTTGGGACAGTTTAGGGGGCATTTGGGACAGTTTAGGGGGCATTTGGGACAGTTTAGGAGGGATTTGGGACAGATTAGGGGGGATTTGGGACAGATTAGGGGGGATTTGGGACAGTTTAGGGGGGATTTGGGACAGTTTAGGGGGGATTTGGGACAATTAAGGGGGGATTTGGGACAGTTTAGGAGAGATTTGGGACAGTTTTGGGGTGTTCTGGAGCGTTTTGTGGGGTATTTGTGGGGTCTGGGGATTTTTGCGGGTGTTTTTGGAGGGCTGTGGCAGGATTTGGGGTGTAACTGGGGTCCCCCCCAGGCCGTGACGTTCCGGAAAACGCGGCGTCGGGTGAAGCGGCTGCGCAAGAAGGAGAAACCCCTGAGGGCCGACGACCTGCTGGCCCTGGCACCCGGGGACACTCGGGGGGACTTTGGCTCCAGGTGGGACTGGGGGGGTCTCCAGGGACACCTGGGGGGGCTTTGGATCCAGGTGGGACTGGGGGGGACCACGCGGTGGGACTTTGGGTCCAGGTGGGACTGGGGGGGGTCTGGGGGGTCCCCAGGGGGTCCTGGGGGACTCTCAGGGGGACTTCGGGTTCAGGTGGGGCTGGGGGGGACCTGGGGGGTCTCCAGGGACACTCAGGGGGACTTCAGGTCCAGGTGGACATGGGAGGGACCTGGGGGGTCCTGGGGGGCTTGGGATGGGGTATTGGGGACACCTGGGGGGACTTTGGGTTCAGGTGGGGTTGAGAAGGGGTCTGGGGGGGTCTGGAGGACACCCAGGGGGGATTTTGGGGCCAAGGGGGGGGGGGGGGGAGGGTCTGGGGGGTCCTGGGGGTCTCCAGGGGGACTTTGGCTCCAGGTGGGGATTAGAGGGAGTCTGAGGGGTCTTGGGGGGGGGTCTTGGGGGGGCTGGGAAGAGTCCTGGGGGAGGGGGCACAAATGGCTGCTGGGGGGGGTCCCAGGGGTGTCCTGGGGGCACCTGTGGGGGCTGACGGGTGTGGGGGGGTCTTTGGGGTCACCCCTTGGGGCTGGGGGGGGGTCCAGCAGCCCCTAATCCCCCCCTAAATCCCCCCAGGTCCCGCGGGCGCGGCAGGCGGGTGCAGGAGGAGGAGGAGGAGGAGGGGGCAGGAGGGGGGGACCCCGAAAACCCCCCGAGCCCCTCCCAGGACCCCCCCCCAGGAGGAAACCCCCCCGAGCCCCCCCTGCCCTCGGACGACACCCGCACAGAGAACATGGACATCAGCAGTGATGGTGGGACTTGGGGGGATTTGGGGGAATTTGGGAGGGATTTGGGGGGGATTTGGGGGGTTTGGGAGGTTTGGGGGGATTTGGGGGGTCTGGGGGGATTTGGGGGCGTCTGGGAGCTTTGGGGAGTCTGGGGGTGTTTGGGGAGTCTGGGAGGATTTGGGGGAATTTGGGAGGATCTGGGAGGGTTTGAGGGGGATTTGGGAGGGTCTGGGAGTTTTGGGGGTTTTGGGGAGGTGTGGGAGATTTGGGAGGGATTTGGGGGTGGTTTGGG